ATTAAGGAAAACCCCACGAAGTAAGGGTAAGAATCTCGTCCAGGATCCCCCTTACCAAGGAATGGCCTTATAAATGCAATGTAACGCCTCCTAACAAGAGGAGAACCCTAGAGGCAAAAAAAAACCATAGCAACCTTGTAATGACCGTGAATAAAACAAAAGGAGCAAGAGCCTCTATTCCAGAGTGGACTAGCCGAGTTCCCAAGTTGGTGAACCACTATAATTCTGTTGTCTTAACTTCCAAAGCCCTGGATATTATTACATCATCTTAGCAACCTAACGTAATCCCAACTCAACTTTTGTAGAAGTGCGTTAACGCCATCAGATTGAATTTTTGAAATCATGTGTAAGCCTTGTATTTCATGTGTCCTTCGGTAGGAAGAAACAAGTTGGTTGGATGGAACCTTTGTTATTGGGTTGGAAATCTTCTTTTGTGGACTTCAACTTAGCCAGAACTAGAAAGTTATGGCTTTGTTTTTGTACTGTGTAGCAAGTAAAGTCTCTGTAAACTTTTTATCTTGCGTGTGGTAGAAATAGAATCAGTATGTGCTAGAATGTTGTTCTCTGTGTTGACATTCTCAAAAAGAAAAGGAAAAAAATGGATGAATGGTATTACATTTTCATTAAACTCAAGCACAAGTTTAATTTTGGGGTGCAATATGGCTCGGTTTGGTGCTAGGAAGTGGATCAGCCCCACCACACCACCCCTGGGTAAATGAACCCCCCCGCGCCCTCAGGGGATTTGTCAGGGCATTTTCTATGCATTATGTGATATTTGTTGTGTCAAAGTTGTATGTAGGTATGTTCTAGCCTAAAAATATTATTCTGTCTTTTATAGATAGTAATGTGAAATTGAATATATTTGAGAATAAGATGAAATGTGTTATTATTCTGAAATTTGACAATGACTAAGATTAAATGCTAAAATAAAGTTTACAATCCATTCCAATGTTTGAATAAATTAGTCTTTCAGCTGCAATGAAATATTAAACAAAATGCCCTTGATAAGAATAAAATAATTATAACTCTAACTTAATACTCCAACACCACCGCCTACCCCACTCTTTTCCTGTCACCATTCCCACCACCCTATTACCATCGTCACTTATCACCACCATTGCCACAATCTCCTCCACCCCATCGCATCTCCACACCACTACTACATATCAAATACAATGTTACAATCGTCTTAAACTCCACCACCATGTAGCAAATACAATGTTATAATTCGACATATTTGTTATAAGAGTAATGTTATTTGAATTTAAAAATTTGACCTAATTTGCTGACATAATAATGTGACTTAATAGGAATTATTAGATCAATACCAAGTTTCAATGTTTGATGGGGCCTACAACCAATCTAAAGGTCACAGTAAATTAAGTCAACAAATTATATTATATTTTTAGATCCTAATAGCATTGCTCTTGTTATAATATGACATATTTATTACTCAAACAAAATATCAATATCCGAAAAAACTACCACAAAATGCTATCTTCATGATTCAATTGTGTGTGTAATTATCTTAACCATTAGTGATCATTAATAAACTGTAATATATTACTTTGTTCATTGAATCTAACTTTATTTGGTAATTCTTTTCCAAACATTTTGGTAAATAGATAATTATTTATCATCATTCAATTGGATTTCTATAATTCATTGTACACTCTATAAATTATTATTATATATATATATACTAGTTATTGTCTGTGCCTGAAGGTACAGAGTAATAAAAAATGATAAATAATAAATATATTTATTTTCATATCTAAAATTAAATCACAAATATAGAGAAGAGATAAAGAAATTTAAACATCGATTTGTAGTAGAGGTGAGAGATAGTGGGTGGCAGTGGTAGTGGTGGCAACGGTGGTAGTGACGGCAGTGGTGGAGGTGTTGGTGGGGGCGACAATGGTGGGGGTGGTGGCGACGACGATGGTGGAGGCATTGGTGGCGGCGGTGGCGACATTGGTGGTGGTGGTGGTGAGGTGGAGGTGGAGGTGGAGGTGGCGGTGGCAGTGTTGGTGACGATGACGATGATGGTGGTGGTGGTGGCGGTAGTGTGAGGGGTGGGGGCGATGGGGTTGGTGGTGGTGATGGAAGTGGCGGCGATGACGGTGGTGGTGGTGGTGGTGGTGGCGGCAGAGATAGTGGCGGCGGCGGTGGCGGTGGTAGAGATAGTGGTGAAGCGGTTCAAAACAATATTATATTTTTTAAAGTATTTATGAGAAATAATTCTTAGAAACACTTTTAAAAATTACTCCAAACACACCCTTAAGGGTCTATTTTTTCTTATTAAATTGGAGTTCTAATATTAGCTGATAGATTAATTTTAAAATAAAATTTAAAGTGATCTCAACTGCGAAAAGAAAAAGTCATTTTGTTTATCTTTTGAAATTTGAATTGTAAGTTACTATATATATATATATATATATATATATATATATATATTTGTGATATCTTTAGATTATGATTTGGATTAATTAATTTTAATACGCGGGTAATTATTATTAATAAAAAGAAACAAGGAAGGAATAGAGCGCAACACAAGGGAAGGGACATTATTTTTTGTTTTTCTTAATTAGTTTATTTATGCCACGCAATGCCAATTTTTGTCATTTCGCATGCATACTTTATTGCTCTTATTCCAGAAATTACCACTTTTTGCACTAATTCAATGCATATCTGATATCTCCCCTCCCTCCTCCCCCAGTGGTTTCGAATCTCAGAACTCAACAACGTTGACGTTGCAATCAAGGTTCCTTCGTGCGTGCTAAGATCCGAAGCTCAATTTGAGGTTATACTTTTTCTTAACTCTTTCGTGAATTTTACTGTCTATTGTTTCGATTGTATTCTACTGTTTTACATATTCGATCCGTATTATTAGCAATATATTTATATCCGAAACAATTACAGCTGAAGGATTATGTTGATTGCAATTTTGGGTATGCGTATTAGCTTTTTATATATCTGTCTGTCTGTCTTCGCATTTCTATTTCTTCATCACTGTTTGTATTTTTGTTGGAAGGAAAAGGGCCAACTCATGTGATGCAGAAGATAATAGCTTTGGGTGGGCTTTGTGTGTGATTAAATTTCAATTGTTGTGTTTAATATCTGTTTTAGGAGAATATGTTGTTGTTTGTTTTAGGAAATTTTCCTTTTAACCGAAAAAGTAGCTAATGAATCTTAACTTGGTATCTACTGTTGATGTTCTTGGCCTTTTTTTTTACTTTCTCTAAAAAGGTTTTAAGACGATAACAATATGCCTGTACATGCAAACCATTCAAAAACAGTGAATTCTGGTGTGTAATCTAGTATGAACAGATAAACTTGGATTTGCGCATCGTGGATCTTATAATATTTTTTTTTTGGGATGGGGTTATGGTACTTCTGATTTTCAATAAATTTAATATTTAGTGTATACCAGTATACCTCTGAATGTTGACATTAGTATTCTTGCTTTCCTACTTTGTTAAGTTGTCGTAATATTCACACTTCTCTAATTCAGTTAAACTTTCAGGATTCTACTACCAGGCTTCATCTATTCAACTTATTCTACCATCACAATGGGACTTTGCTTTTCTGGGGTAAATCACTTCAACTGATGCTCACCAAACTAATGAATAAGTGAATAGATTACTCCCATTCTAATTGGATTTAGTTGCTCTAGTAAAATAGTTGTTTTGGGATCCAGTGTGCTGTTTACCAATCATAGTGGTTTGAATGTGGTCTCTGTCTCTCTCACACACACATACTCACATGCACGTGCATGCACACATGTTGAAGGATCAAATTGATCAGAACTTAGAACCCAAAAATAAATGAGTCCATAAATAAGGGGAAAAAGAAAGAAAGAATGCAAGAAATACATGACATGGGTGTGAGTTACATTTACTAGGACATAAGGTTGTTTGGGTGCTTTTATGTCCTTTGCAGCTGTATATTAATTGGTTCAAGCTGAATATATATGTTGATTCAAGGGCAAGAGAGCTTAAAACATGGAAATTGCCTGAGTAAAGGTGTGATGACCATTGACTTAGTATAACGTATTGTCCTATATTGAGTAGAATGATGGAAGGGTGATGGCCCGAGTCAGCTATATTGTCTATCTAGCTGACTCCAATAGGTAGAATAAGATTAGATTTAACATATATAACCCGAGGATTGGCCTTCCATTTCCGTCATCTTATATATGTATGGTCATGATTATCTACTTCCCAAAGTGCGGCTAATGTGATGGATCTCCTTTTTTATAAGAAAAAACATTTGTCCATTTTTCGTGGTTTCAAGGGCCGTGGAAGCACATCAGAGCTCTTGAACTAAATAAAGGGTCATTTTTCAAATAAGTTATCATTAACCAAGGGTGCTCTGAGAGGGAAATTGATTAAAAAGTTAAGCTTTGAAATTATTGGCACAAACTGGTTATTCTTAGATTTGAACCCACAACGTCACAGTTGTTTGCCCGACAATTTGACCACTACTAGATCTGACTTTCGAGTTAAATGGAAATAAGAAAAAGATGCAACTTCAGTTCCATCAGAAATGAAAAGACCTTTAGTGCAAGAAGACGTGATTTATCCGCATCATTTTCATTTGGTTCTGCTTTCTCTATTTTTTGGCTGAGATGTTTTGAGAGTCTCACCAAGAAGAAATGGATAAAGTTTCACCATTAAAAGAAAGACAAAACTGTGGATAAAATTTCTTATTTGCAAGGGTTAAATATTCTCTAAATGATTTCACCAACAAAGAAACTTTAAAAAAGAAAAAAACAAGGGTGCTCATTCTTTACAAGGCTTGCTAATATAGAAGCATATAGTTCAACTCAACAAAGCCTTTATCCCAACTATGCTAATATAGAAGCATAATTGACTCAAAACTAGAAACTTTCTTATATAAAAAGTCCGACTAGATTTATAATTTACAACTCTACTTGTCTCGAATTAGGAAGACCTGACAATAGCTGTGACCAAATACATGAACAATTTTGGATGGGCAATAAAATTAAGTGGGCCTAAACTAGCAAGTGTACCAATTTATCTTCAACCAAATAAAATTTGAGTTTCTATCTACAAAGGAGCAAAAATCAAGTGACTTCGACCAAACTTTACTAGTGGGACCGCATCTGCCATGTTGTTATTTGGTGCCGATAACCTTGGTTTACCACTTGGTGGATCCTGTTAAACAATATGAGATACATTTGCGGCAGAATGTATTTCTATTCATTCTTATACAGTATTACATATTGTCAAAATGAAGATGATACATTTTGTGCCTTTTCCTTAGGTTAGTTGCATGAAACACACTCTTAAATGGAATGGGATCTCTCTCTCTCTCTCTCTCTCTCTCTCTCTCTCACACACACACACACACACATATTTCTCTTGGTAAGTAGGATTTATCTTGTACTGCTATGAGAATGAGACTGACCTAGTTTAATGGAGATCAAAGTAAGGTGTTTTGTTATTGTCCACTATGTAACCTCTTTGATTTTCTTTGTCCATTTCCTAGCAATTTAGAGAAATTCCAGCAATCTACATCACAAATAATGTTAGTTTTGTTGACCTCAACAATGTCCTGAGTGAGGATTTCAAAATTTGGTTCAGGCATAGTTTGCTTTTATTGCTCATTCCTTATGTCATTTGACATAGAGGTTATTGTGTGCATGATACTTGTAGCCTAAGAATGATGACGAAGATTCTGATACGCATGTTGATTTTGCTGGTGGAAATGTGCACCTCATCGCTACCAAAGAAAGTTGGGATGAGAAGCTGGCAGATGCAAGGAGGGATGGGAAGATTGTAAGCATTCAACACATTTTTTTTTCTATCTTTTATTACTTGTCTTTGAGCTCGATATATGAGCATATCAAGTTTAATCAGTAGAATTGTTTTAATTGCTTAGTTTAGTGTCAAAAGACTGAGCTATTCTTGATAAAAATTGCCATACTGTTGCAAATGGCAAAGAATTACAAAAATGTGTTCAAGGGTTAACAACTGTGCGATAAGGCAAGACTGCAGGTTGGATTTTGTCGCAGTGGATGGTGTCTTTATCCGATATGAGCACCACAATAGTGCTGGATGATGAGACCTTGATTTTGTGACATCATTAAATCATGACTCTGCAGTCATGAGAAAAGTTATATACTCTTGCCTGATCTAAAATATATATTCTGAAATGCAACTAACGAAGAGGCAGTACAGTTGCATCCAACGGCAAGAATCTATTTCTATACTTCTATTCTAAACTCTATTTCATGAGCTTGAATATTTGGTTCTTTGAGTTTTTACTACTTTCCAGTCAGAATCTTCTTTGCGAGAAATCAAGACTCTTAGCTACCCTTTTGCTTCCCCTCACATGTATATTTTGGGCAGCAATTGGATATTAAAATCAACACTTCTTTTATTCAGTCACTGTAGGCAACTTTTCTCTGCGAGCATGAAAAATGGGAGGAAATAAGTCTTTTAAACTGGGTAGAGATATTTGATGGATTGGTTTGCGTGTCTATGAGTGTGAACCTTTGTTTTTTAATTTCCCAATGATAAGATCCCATTCCATTGTGGTCTTGAATTGCAATGCTTAAGTACTTAGAGAGCATATTTTAATATATGTTCTAGAAATAATGACATCTGATGGCTACTGTTAGTTTATTTCTCAGAAAATAACATTTTTTCATTTATTGGTAAAAAACAAACGAGGATTTTATATTTAGGATGATCATATGTTATGATCATTTTATGTGGTGTTCCAAGCCAAAAAATGTTTTAGGCAAATTATGTTGTTGAGTCTACACTCTGAGTTCCTTCTACGCAAATGGTTTCATCGGAGGAACGTGCTTTGTGTGTGTGTGTTTGTTAGTCACGTTGAGGCATTGTGCATGTAAATTTTCTAGTTCCCTCGTAATATTATCGATACTCTATTGAAGTGAAGTTTAATATATTTGGTGTGTATCTTATGCAGTATTTTGCTTTTCTAACTGGAGTTGATAAATGAACAGGTGATTGCGAATTTCAGTGCATCATGGTGTGGTCCTTGTAGAATGATTGCGCCACTCTACCGTGAGCTGTCTGAGAAACATCCTTCTCTTATGTTTCTAACTATTGATGTTGATGAACTAACTGTAAGTGTTCCAACTGTATTATAATTTGATAGAATAGCAAAGTGTGTTTCATACATTTGAAGCCTGACCTTTTACTATGTGCTTGGCTTGTTGCTCTGTCTAACCAAAATTAGAGTACTCTCAAAGTCCTGGAAATGCTGATGGTTCACCATAAAACATGCCCTGGAAAAAAATTTCACGTCCAGCATTTAAACAGCAAACAGTTTACAGAGGAAGATATTTCTTAGCAATGAAATTAATGTTGTTGTCCTATTGCACAGGAATTCAGTACTTCCTGGGATATCAAAGCCACTCCTACCTTTTTCTTTCTTAGAGATGGACAACAAGTTGACAAACTTGTGGGGGCCAACAAGCCAGAGCTGCAGAGGAAGATAACTGCCATTCTAGATTCGGTGGCCCCATGTCAGAAATAAGTGCTATGATGGTTCCCTGTCATCAGTGAGTGGCACGGACCAGTCTTTCTTCTTCCTTGTGTGAGTATTATGAGCATGTTTATATTCTTTCCTTTGATGGTAAGTTTGTACTCTACCATTGCATGAATCCTTTTGTAAAACTTGAGTTGATGGCACTCAGTTTTCCCAAAACAACGATCTTACATATTGATCATATGTTGTGCAGTTAATCAATCTGATTTTTGGTTGTCTCCGTGCCTTCTTCTTTTATTTCTATTTTGTTTTATACGTCATGATTGTTCGTCCTTTTTCTTCATAGGAAGTACATAAATAAATTCTCAATTTGCGTGGTACTTTGGCTTGGCTTTGCAAATATGATGAAGCACCAAGCCTAATATGATCGATTTATTCTCGTCTATCTAGCACATGACAAGAACCAAGTCGTTGCAAAGTGTACCCATGCAGCTTAGTCGAACTGATACACACCCTTAGTGTAGGTGGATTTTTTGGAAATGTACAGTGAACCCTTTTCAGTCATCAGGGATAGTTAAATGGATATTTAACCACTGAGGAGCTTTCGCCCCCCAGAAGATTGCTGTGCAGAGAAGTGTCTGACATTAGTAGTGAGTTTTTGATTCCCAAACCAAGCAGTAAAAAATAGATTCTGCTGTTTGAAGATATTGTTCAGGTAGAAAATAGGGGAAAACAGAGGGTGGGGGGATAGAGAGATAGAGAGCCCTTTTCACAATTTAATTGGGCGTCTTCCTGGAGCTGGATGGTTTTTTTTACATCTGTATATACTGAGCAATCATTTGTGGGGGAAAGGAAGCACGTAATAACAGGCTGGAAGAGAACATTTATGCATAATAAACACCTTGTCGTTGTCATTTCTTTACCTGGATGGCCTTCTGTTTAACCACCATGTGCTTTCTTCTTGTCCTCTTTTCCTGTTTTCTCTTCGACCGCCTTGACTAAGTGGGCATAAAAGACACTAGAAAGTGGCCGGATGCCATATTATGCGTCTTCGACGCCTTGAAATGGTCCATATGGTAAAATTAGTTGGTTTCTTTTATATGCCAATTTTCTATTGGCCAACTGGAAAAAAGTATGTCATGGATGGGGAATCTATCTATTGAAAACACTGGATCACACACTGAGTTCCTGTTATATGATTTACTACTTGGATAAAAGTATGTATTAGTAAGGATTTGAAACCGTAAGTATCGGAATGCCGGCCCTCAGAAGAATTTTGCTCTGCCGCCCAAACATATTATCCCAACGGCAGAATTATCACATTGAATGGTATCGTTTGATTGCTTGATTGAGGCCAGCAACTGGCCCGCCAAACGCGTAAGAACATGGCATGCGCATCTCCCACTTACAAAGAATATAAACTATCAGAGAAGGAAAAGTCAAACTCATAGATCCGGCCATGACCATCAACTTAAGTGTTCAATTATAATACTGATTGATATTTGAGAGTGATTTTGTACATTTGAAATTTTGGTTGTAACCATTTGTTACCAAAAGAAATCAATTAAAAAGTGGTCAAGCTGAGACATTGTCTCTCCAACGTATTGCTAATTCATTTGAGTACTGTACCTGCCCTATGTCATGTATCAACACCAAAGTGGACCCCTATCAACATGTGATTTTATTCCTGGCGACGAAAATATTTCTTTTGTCATGGTTCTATTTGTCTTCAATCATTTTTGTGACACTAGATGGACGGTGCCCTGCGGGTTCATTCATTGGGCTGTGTGTGATAAGACAAACCAGCTACTATGATTTAGCATGAAACCATCAGTATGGAAAGCTAATAGAGGTACCCTCCCCATCTAGTGCGAATGGAAAATCAACATATTATTTCTACACTCTTCGTGTGTAATTGTAGTTACAACAGCGTACAAAAGTATTTATTTGATCACAACTATTGGGTGACCAAAATGATAAAAAGTAAGTAAAGGAATAACAAGGAACGAATAAGTAACATTCACGGTTCACAGAAACTATTAATTTCTTGACTAACAGAAAGAGTACAAAGCACATTGCCTTAGAGGGAATCAACAACCACTGGCATGTGCTATGGCGGATTGCTTTTTGAGCTTAACGTCCTTTTGGGTTCAAGATCTGCGAGAACACTGTAGTTGGTGTCAACCCATCTGAGTCTTCACTGGCGAGGCTCCGACCACCAATGCTCATTGATGTCACACTGCTCCTCGAGTCTGTAGCATTGTCATCAAAACCTGGGGATGCATTTGGATCCTTCTTTCCTTTACAGGCAACATCTAATGACCCCTCTTCAATGTGCATTTTGCCCATACATTTTCCACTCTCCTCTGCACTCTCCTGAAGCTGCAAAGCAAACTCAAGGTTCCACAACACATCACCCATTGATGGCCTATCAATACCCTGATCAGCCACACACTTAACTGCAGTCTCGGCAACCTTCTTGAAGCACTCTGGTGCAATCTTACCTTTCAGATATGGATCACTAATCTGATCAAGTATGCCCTTCTCATGGCAATGCAAAGCCCACTCTGCCAAACTCACTTGCTCCTTTGGCAGTGTCTGGTTCAAAACTGGCCGTGCACACAACATTTCAAAAAGTACAACTCCAAATGAGTAAACGTCAGATTTGTCTGTCAGTTGCTGCCGCCTGAAGTATTCCGGATCCAAATACCCAAAGCTACCCTTCACCACAGTGCTTACATGAGTGTGATCCATTGTAGGACCTGTTTTTGACAAACCAAAATCCGAAACCTTTGCCACCCACTTCTCATCCAAGAGGATGTTAGTTGTCTTGACATCACGGTGGATTATAGTGTACTTGGCACCAGTGTGGAGATAGTGCAAACCACGAGCAGCTCCAATGCAAATTTCGAGCCTCTGCTTCCATGGCAGAGGGGGTTTTTGCGTCTTGTAAAGATGCTCACGGAGGGTTCCGTGAGCCATGTAATCATATACAAGGATCATCTCACAGTTCTCTTCACAATAACCAATCAATGAAACAAGGTGACGGTGACGAAGTTTTGAAAGCATTTCAATCTCAGTTTGGAATTCATGAACACCTTGTCCAGAGAGAGGGTTCCCACGCTTAATTGCAACTTTAGTCACTCCACCGTCAATTTCTCCCTTGTAAACTTTGCCAAAACCTCCCACCCCAAGGAGTAAATCCTCATCAAAGTTATTGGTGGCGGCCTTGATCTCAGCAAAAGAAAAATGGCGACAAAGGTTTGAGGGCAGGGAGGTGGCATAGCTTCCTGTAGTGTTTGTCTTTGCGGAGCCTGAAGAGTATGAATTTCCATATAAAGAAAGAGGGAGCCACCCTGATGGTCCATGGCTTACTCTCGGGTCCTCTTTGTGCCTACGGTGACGGGAAAGCGTGCAGACCAATAAACCAAAAAGAAGCAATGCAGCAATACCACCACCAACACCTCCACCTACAACTGCCATTTTATTCTTCGATTGACCTGAGTTGGATGGTAGTTCACCTGGTGATGAGTCAATTACTTCTTGTTTTACAGGGACTGGATTGAGACCGGCAAGATTTCCACTACTATCGTTTACTTTGAAAATCTCCACTCCATTCAAGATAGCATTATAATAATTAGACTTTGATGCAATGTTTGGATGCAAGGCAAGCCAAAGATCCTGCTGCGCAGGCCCGCTAGGAACAAGCACCACATAATCCTTATGGACCGGAACTCCATTGTGTCTTGCCCAAGCAATCACATCCGCTTCAGGTGCTGCAGTTTGATTATTAAGGAAGATCACAAACACTCTTTGATTAATAAGAGTTATATTTTCAGCAACCTCACAGAAATGGAGCCTAACCAAGTAAGAAAACCCTGAGTCAACAGCGAAAATCCAACTCAAATTGGAGTTCTGGTTAACGTAGTTATCTGGACTCATAGATCTAGCAGTTTTATAGACGTCAACGGGTGCAACATAAGTTGGCATGCCCGAAGGATAGTTGATTGACATACTTGGGTCAGCAGTCTCCGTAGCCCCTATCCCCGCCGCATAAATGTATGGCGTGTCATCATACCAGGATCTATACAGACCAGTATCATCAGACAGGGAAATGTCATTTCCACCCACATTTAGCCGATAAACATTCTCAAGAGCAGTATTATTGTCGATGATGAATGCTGTCATCTGGCCCACGAGCATTGAAGTTCCATCTTCAGTATTGTAGATGTCCGGATGTGATTGAACCTCAATACCATTTACAAATGCAAACGAATTGGGAGTATTTGGAGCTGGTGTGAAGGTTAAGTTCAAAGTCCCGGATGGCACATTGACGGAGTACTCCTTGACAATAACATCATAGTTGAGAGCTTCAGCGGTTTGGGCGGCACTGAAGTTCTTGAGAAGGGTATATGATCCAGCAGTCACGGAGAAGTAAGAATTGGAGACATTGAACCTCCCGTAGGACACGGGATAGAAATACAAACGGACAAATTTACGGCCAGAGGCTAGGGGGAAACTATAGGTGAATTCGGATTGAAAAATACGGGCGGTCATAAAAGGAACTTGAGAGACGGAGGCTTTTTGAGTAGCGGCTAGGGAAGTTGATGACTTGCCACCGGCCATCGGAAACTTTGAGCCAATATCTGAGGTCCATTTCCGGCCATCAGTATCGGTAGAATCAGAAGGATCCCCACAGTTGAGAAGAATTTTATCAGTCGGAACATAATCGGCGGCTGAGATGAAACGAATGACCAAACCCCAGAACAGAAAACTAAAAAACGAGAGGATACGACGAGGCTTATTGAGGTTCCCCATGCCAGCAAGGAAATTTCACATGTAAAAGCTGCAATGTCCGTCCACAAACGGATGATAAATAAATTTCAGATCTTTGAAATGCTATGGATACAGAAAATAATTAACTAGAGAGAGAATATCAAAGGTCTTCAATTAAACATGGGCAGAGTCAGAGATATGGAAAAATTGAAAAGCCGGTGATCAGAACTCGGCGGGTCAACCAACAACTGGAGAAAGAAAAGTAGTTCAAAACCTCAGGCGACCATTACAAATCCACAGCTAGCTAGCTAGACAGACACAAGGAATATTAAAGTTCTATTGAAAATACTCACCCAAGCTTGAAGATCTACCAGGCGAACTAGCTCAGAAACCAAACCAAGAACACAGCACCAAATTAGAAAAGCAAGTAAATGGCAGGAAATGAATTACCTCAGACATCAATAGGACCAGAGATCCAAAGAAGAAAACTTGAAGTCATTTTTGGACCAACGACAACTGTATCGCATCAAAATATCACTAGCTTTAATCAGCTCACAACCATACATAACTGTTACACGGTCTTGCAGAGGACATTGGGCGTCAATCATGGGTTAAAGGATGGATGGATGGATGCCAGGTATGTGTCACACATGAACACGTCAACGTGGAATTGAGATGGAAACCCCGGATTGATTGAGACTCTCCATATATTTGATGATTTCAAATTCATATGGATTGACTCAAATTAATTCTAACACTATTTAAAATGGCACATCATTCTTATATATATATTTATTTAACAATCAAATATTTTATCCAATATTATAACAAATTAGGTCTCGAGGATCACACTACTTTAGTGTATAAATAGGCATGCACTTGCCTTATTGAGACGATCTGCAATTGTCTTCAAGAGAGTGCAGTGCAATCATCTAATTCTCAAATAATACGAGTTTTCGTTAAAGTGGACTAATCAACTCTTCAACCAGATAAATCACATATTTTCTTAAATTGTTACAAATTGTTACTTTACTCACATGCACAGGTCATCTACTACACACTAATCTCACATTTTTTAGTTTCACACACCCATATATTTGTTTTTTTAAAAAAAATAAATTATTAATAGATTATTTATCATGGTGTGTCACTCAATATATTTGCTTTATTAATTTTTTATAATACACGTTAAATGGTTTATTATTGAAACAAAAACATATTGAAAGGAAATCAAAATCTTAAAAAAGGAAAACCTTTTTCTTTTTTCCTACGTAATAAATAAAAATCCATTGTTAGTTTGTGTGCGGCATGGGGGGTGGGGGGTGGGTGGGTTGCAATTGGAAGGTCGGTTTCTTTCAGAAATGGATCAGTTGACTCTGTATCTCAACCCTCTTTGTGACGCTGTGTGAGACTGAATAAGTTGGTTTTGCATTACAAATAATTAATATAAATTATACTTGTTAAAAGATAAAAATTCAAACAAAAATAGGAAAGTAATAAAAGCGATATTCGATACAACATAGCCATTTTGGTATACCGTACATACATTTACGGACCAAAAACTTATATTAATATATTTTTTATTAAAAAATTAATCATCTGATAACTAATTACATAATCCTCAACCCTATTTATAGGGATAAAATAGGATAACCCTAACTTATTTAGATACCACTTGATCTTTATTTTTCTTGTTATATGTCTAACATACTTATTTATGATATATTAAAACTCTTCTAATATAATTCTATTTCATATAGGATTTTCATTTTTTTTTTTTTGATTCACACTTAATCAGTTACTCTAACAAAATAAGAGTCAAATAAAAACTTATAAACAAACTCACAAATTCGAAACTATCCAATGTGAAATAGTCCAATCCCTCACCTCGCTGGTACAAATATCACGACCGCAAGGCCCAAACAGCCCAAAGAGGGATTTCCAGCCCACAATCGCCCCCCCCCCCCCCCCTACATAAGGCGTCATAGTCTTTTTCTTTTTTTTTTAATTTATAATTAACCACTTACTCACGTTGATAAAATAACTGGGGAGTTTGGTTAAATTCCAACGGACTGTTTGCAACACTTTTACAATGGACAAAAATTGAGAAGAGAAAGTTGAGCGGTCGGTTTCTTTTGTATGTGTGCGCGCGCGCGCTATATCACCATGGCGTTGGGTGCCTGGGCAAGAGGCAGCTGTCCTTGCCCCGAAAATTTTCTCTTTAATACCTTTTAAAATTGTAATTAGGAGGAGTGGCAGAAGAAAATGAAAATTTGCGCATTTCGTTTCTCTTTTCTCTTCACTGCCACTCTTTGGGCATTAAGTATTGGCAATGTGGTGTTGCTGGAGTTGGAGTTGGATGGGACCATCGACACCATACTCAAAACAGTCTTCTAACAGCAGGTAAGCAAAGGGGTACGGAATTCCACTATGGAAATGGACATTACATGTTCTTTTTTGTCATTTTTTTCCCGGAAATTATTTTGTTTATTTATTGAGGTACTTAAGCTTCATGAACGACCACTTTTCATGTACCTTTCTGTTTGAATTTTCCTGTTTTATTTCCCTTCTTTCGTAAATAATTGATATTGTAATTCCTCACTTTGGAGCCCTGAAGCCTCTTCAATTTTATTTCATATTCACAAAAAGAAAAAATGGTTTTGTAATCCTGGTTTTGCTAGTCAATTTTAGGGCCCTGGTGCAAGTTAACAGATTTGTCATCCTGAAGCTGGATGATGAATCGAGGTTTATGTATACATGTACATTTGTATACGATACTCGATCAGCCTAGTTCACCAACCACCTATGTATATTTGTGTATGCATGTGTGTATATACACACACATATACATATGTTTATGCTTTGAAGCTAAGGAATAATGATCTTTCAACACCTCTAATCTTTAGATTCTTTAATTCTAGTTTTGGCTTACAGTTACATAGCCGAAATTAATTGGGGCTTTTCCTTTCATGTCTTTGCCAATGGGATTGACTAAGACATCTGAACTATGTGAGATAAACTTCGACAAGTTCAAGACATTGTTGAAAACAGGGCAAATTGCTTGGTAGAACTTCTTTTCCTTTGAGTTCCAAAAAGGGGGGATATGGAACCCTCTTAAATGAGGTATATAAGTTTGTCACATTCTCTAGATTACCAAAATTAATAAGAAAAATAAATTAAAAAAAAAAAACATGAGTTACTACCAACTCTCCATTTTTTTTCTATCAAGATGTAAAAGAGAAGACATCTTTGCTTTGAAGGTAACAAGATGATTTCCTCTTCAACACTTCTCTTGTATATCACAATATGGATGTCCACATAATAGATACCATAGACATACATGTATATATATTGCTGTCTAAGAAAAAAATCAAAATGTGGATATTTACTGGAAAACATGGACACCCAAGAGGGGAAATTTAGATTTAAAATCAGTTTTTGGGTAGCTACTCTTATTATGCTTGTTGCAGTATCAAACTCTGCTGTACTTGGTGGAGATGAGAATTCAGAATCACTGGTAGATACAGCATTTTATAGTGTAAATCATGGGTACCAGTTACAAAGTTCCTCTTTTTGGCTTCTTGTCTGTCTTTAATTAGGTACTCATAATTTCTCATTATTTACACTTCATTTGATCTACTTATTCATGTGTACAGGGTTTATGGTTTGGGTGACATGGAAAATGATGAATGGACAATGGTGCAGAAAAAGGGGAACCAGTTTGTGGTTAATGGCCAACCTTTTTATGTAAATGGGTTCAATACTTACTGGTTGATGGTATTTTCTGTGGATCAATCTACAAGAGGAAAGGTCAGTGAAGTGTTCCAGCAGGCATCTTCTGTGGGTCTCACACTATGTCGGACATGGGCTTTCAATGATGGCCAATGGAGGGCTCTTCAGAAATCTCCGTCTGTTTACGATGAAGATGTCTTTAAGGTGCTTCTTTGTTTCTCATTTACATCAACGTGAATTATGTCATTTTGCTCTCAACTTGGGAGAAACAATTTGCAGTGTCAATTCTGGTGCCTCCGGTTTGATGTGTGGGTAATAGCATTTTATATTAGGAAAAACTTTGAAGGCATAGAATTGGTGCTTATTTGCAAGTTGCAACACTTAAGAAAGTATAATTGATAACAGACTTTGTATCAGATGCCTCTAACAGATTAGAAGAAATATGAAAATTCCAGAGGGCTTGAACTTTTCATCGGTAATTCCCTTGCAACCTGCAAAATAGCCCTTTTTACCTTCCTTCAGAAGGTAGACTGAACAGACTTTTCCATGATATTTGAGTTGAACTGCTTGGAGTTGCATAATTTTAACAGTTGTATGAATTCAGTCTGAAGTTACCTTTCATTTTAATTAAAATTGAGGATTTTGCTTCCATTGTGATATACATGGTCCAGACTTTGTGAACAATGGTTTTAAAGTTGGGCAATTTGTGATGATTCAACCATCCATGATGGATTGTTTTGCACTACAGGCGTTGGACTTTGTTGTAAGTGAAGCCAAGAAGTACAAGATCAGGCTAATATTGTCGTTTGTTAACAATTGGCAAGCTTATGGCGGCAAAGCACAATATGTTAAATGGGGTAAAGCTGCCGGCCTAAATTTGACTTCTGATGATGACTTCTTCTCTCATCCAACTCTCAAAAGCTACTACAAGGCCCATGTTAAGGCAAGTTCCTTCCTTAATAGTCTTAGTACCAGTGTTTTGAAAAGCTCGCCTAGGCGCTCGCCTAGGCGAGAAGCGAGGCGAGGCGAGCTTATCTCGCCTGGAGGACCCCAGGCGAAGCGAACGTGAGCGAAGCGAGAAAAAAGCGAGAAAAAGCGAAAAAGCGAAGAAGCAAAAAAAGCGAAAAAGTGAACGCTTTATTATAAAAAGCGATTCTGCTTCACTTTTTTTTTTTTTTTTTCTGATTATAGGTTAGTAGTCTCTTTTATTTTTTAATCACTAATGACTTTTTTTTTAGACTATTGCTGGTCTATTTTTTTTTTTTTCTAATAAACAATGTTTCGAACAAAACACATTCCTTTTTTTTCCTTGTGTTGCTGAATTCATTTAGAATATTTGTGGGATGTGGGAGTCAGGCGACTACACTGCATGACAATTATGATAAAAAAATAAAGCAGGAGTATCAGAAATAGGGGTAAATAATAAATTCTTCTACAAAGAAGTGTCTCTGATATGTCTTGGTTATACTTTTACCTTTTCTTATGTATATACAAATGGTACCAAAAAGTGGTCTATGGTTATACCATGTTTAATTATTTTAGTACATGTGAAATGTGCCTCTGTTCTGCTTTTTTTTATTCAGTATATAATTACATATGAAATTGTTTACAATTGATTCTGCTCCTGTCATGATCATTGTGCTTCTGTTTTTTTTTTTAGCTCATTCTGCTTCTATTTTTTTTTTGTTGATTCTGTTGCTGCTTCGATTTTGCTGTCCTGTGTTGCTTTTGTTTTTTTTTAATTGTCATTCTGCTTTTTTTTTTTTTGTTGCTAATTCTGCTGTTGTCCTGATTCTGCTTCTTTTGTTGTCCTACCCTGTCAATATGAAAATGTATACAATTGTTAGTATTTGTTTGAATTTAAATGTTTAAGTTATGACTGTTATTAAGATTTGAGATATTATTAGTGTTTTTTTTAATTTAAATGTTTATGGTTTTACTTGCATTTAAATATTTAGTATATATAAAATTAGAACTTAGATTGTTTAGAAGTAATTAAACTAAAATATATATTTTTTTTAACTGTTCGCTTTGCTTCGATAAAGCGTGTCGCTTCGCTTCTCGCTTCTCGCCTAGGCGTTAGGAGCCTTGGTCGCTTCGGTTCGCTTTACGCCTTAAATAACACTGCTTAGTACCATCTTTTACTGATTCATCTTTAACTAAAACTTTGCAACTAGCATAACCTTGATGCGTTTTATATACCTACACCGTAGCAGTGGGATTTTGGTCTATTGATTTTGTACTTAGTCTAATTGGCTTCTTGCTTTCTCTCGGTCAAATGTTTGGACTATGTAGACAGTGCTTAATCGAGTCAATACTCTCACCAACATAACATACAAGGATGATCCTACAATTTTTGCCTGGGAACTGATGAATGAGCCTAGGTGCGAGTCAGATACATCTGGGGATAGGCTGCAGGTTTGTTTCCTTTAACAACTAATTTTTATAGAGTTCCGGGCATATTGTAAAGAGGGCTTAGGCATCAGATAAAAGTACTAAGCTAACCTTATTTTCTCACAATTAGTGTCATGTTTCTTGCATGGTTGCATCTCGTATGGCATGGTATTTGCTGAGTATCAAAATGGCTTTATTTATAGGCTTGGATAGAAGAAATGGCAGTTTATGTGAAGAGCATTGATCCAAGGCACCTGGTAGAGATTGGATTGGAAGGATTTTATGGTCCCTCAACACCTAACAGGGCTCAGTTCAACCCAAATACATATGCTCAACAAGTTGGGACTGACTTTATCAGGAACCATCTGGCTCTTGGGGTTGACTTTGCTTCTGTTCACATTTATGCTGACTCTTGGTAAGTAACCTGTGTGCTGAAAAATAGACTCTCTACAATGGAAATTTAATCTTATAATGCAGAACGACATCAATGGACGGTGGCGAATTCTTCTGATACATTTTATTTCTAAAGTTGTCTAATGCTCAGTATCATGCTTGTATGTAGGTGACTAGACATGCATTTATATTTGGAATGATTCACACTTAAACTGCCATAAGCATGATCGTGCATGCAGTTTGTTAGATGCAGTATATATGTCTCGTTCAAATGGAGAATATATGTATACATGCAGCTACATTTGTTATAATTAATTTTTCTGGTATGGCGAGTTCTGATTAGACTATTAACATTCATGAAGGATTTCACAATCAATTTCGGATAAACATCTTGAATTCATCAAGTCATGGATGCAATCCCACATTGATGATTCTGAGAAGTTCCTTGACATGCCGGTTCTTTTTGGGGAGTTTGGCGTATCTGCAAAAGATCCTGGTTTCAATTCATCATTCCGGGACACCCTCATCAGCACAGTGTATAAGACGCTTTTGAACTCTACTAAGCAAGGAGGGAGTGGGGGTGGAAGCCTTTTGTGGCAGCTGTTTCCCGAAGGGACAGACTACATGGATGATGGTTATGCAGTTGTTCTTTCAAAGTCCCCTTCAACATCAAACATCATGTCTCTTCAGTCTACTAGGCTTATGACCTTCAACTCCTTGTGTTCTCGGAAATGCCATTGGGGTTGCAAGAAGAAGCATGCCTTAGAGGCGTTTCTCCTCCATGATGAACTTTAAAATGTTATGTTCACATAAGCATCCATGTCATTGTGGATTGTGAATAACGAAGTTATTGGGAAATAAAACTGTTACCAATGGTTGCTTAATGGCAATGTAGATGCCAATTGTACTATTTCCTATCATGCAATTGTTGTTGAAGATTAACACACTGATGTGGAAGCTTACCAAAGGGTTTATCCGATAGAACATTCTCTTATGTGGGTCTCGAAGGAGAGAAGGAAATGAATTTAGGGTACTGGTGGAAAAAAAAAAAGTTGCAGTAGGGTGTACCAGAGAAGCCATCAGTGCTTGTCAAGAAGCTTACTATGGCGCGAGTTGTTGGCTATCAACAAGGGCTTTAATTGGATCTAGCATAAAAGACAGCAATTTCACTCAGCAGGCGTGGATATCGTCAATTGCAAAATCTATGTTCCTATGTTTTATATAACAGGGCATCACCATTACATGCCGAGTTAGCTGCAGTAATAGTTTTACACCGTAAATGTGACAAAAAGCCCAATTAGAAGTTACTACAGTAACAGTACCACAAGGCCTTGTTAATATGGGAGCTAAAAAACTAAGGTATGAGGTCAAACAAAACTTCAATTTGTAAGTATCAAAGTCAAATTAAGCTCCCGTTTAAACATTCTTACATAACAAAAAGAGGCACATTAAAAACAAAACCATAAATGACCTGTAGCTGTGGCCCAAATGGTAAGTATCTTCCTCTAACACACCCATATAGAATGATGAAGTAAGCATGGGGTTGCTAACAACCGCCTAAACTAGCTACATAGGCACCAACAGAAGGAATAAGTAATGACTTCAAGATGACCTTCTTCCCAGAAGGCATACTAGTTCAAGGGGTCATTTCTCTGAAGAAAGGAGGCCGTAGGTCTAACATAAGTAAAACCCTGGAAGAGGTTCCCATTTTGTTTTGGACTGGACACTGGAGAATCTAACAGTGGCATGTCAGTCCAGCGCTTATCAAAATTGGCAATGCAATGTTTTCCAGCAACTTCAGGACGAAAAATGGGATGAATTTCCCGGCCCTCCAATTTCTTCCAGTTCATTGACTTGAACCATTTATGGTGCTTTATTTCATCACTGTCTGTTGGCCCACTGCCCAGTCGCTTGTTTGGATCCTTTTGCAGCAGCTTAAGTATAAAAAAAAATATTTCAGTTTAATTGTTACAGAATAAACAAATGAAGTAAAAAAATGAAGGACACTGCCAAATTCTTAGGCAATGAGAGATGCATTGTTTTCATTTTCAAAACCAACCATCCCTAGTCATTTAATTGTTTCATTGCATGTAGAAGCAAACTTTCATGGTACACTTAATATAGCCATCACTAGGAAAGAATTTTATGTTGATATAAAAATGGGAAACAACTTTAGAAAATTGTTTTAAGAACCAATTTCATTACAAAATGTGCAGAACTTACTCCTTTCAATACAGAATGCGCTTCACTTGACAAAAATGCAGGCAGCTTAAGTTTATCCTTTGTTATCTTTTGCTGAACTCTTCCCCGATTACCACCAATGAAAGGAGGCTGCACAAGAAAAAAAGAATTGAATAGTTTGGATGATGCAAATGGATTATACCATATGATTATTTATGTGAACTTAGAGCCATATTACAGGGAAAACATAACCACAAGGGCAAGATTAGAAATGACTTATAGTATTGGTTTTTTTAAGCACAACCTTTTTATGAGGTTGGATGGTTCCAAATCTTGATTCTTACTTTACAGTCCATGTGAAACATAATAGCAAACTCTGTTTCACTCATGGTTCAAAGTCACGGTATCGGACCTCAACTCGGAGGCCACTAAGACACATCAGTCGCGGCATGGTATCGGCCGATACGTTTAAACAACTATGTTGAAGGATCAAATTTTTTTTGAAAAAATTAAGAAAAATTGTAATAAATGTAAATATTATCATTCATGCATCATATCCTTAAAATTCATCATTTAACACATTAATCATTACAAAAAAGAATAATAAGGGCGCAACCAAAAAACATGTCATCATTTATGTGCAATGTGCAATGGAAACACACGCAAAACCATTTGGGACGTGTGCAATATTTTGCTCTCAATTTAGGCAAGCATTTGGAACCATTGGGAACAAAAAAAAATCTCAAATTTTTGAATCCTTTATCATTTGACAAAGAGAAAGAAAAAAACCGAGGTTGTAGGTGTAATTAATATAATACAACTTTTTTGACTACACCAAAAAAAAAACCGAAAAAAGCATACCCAGTCGCTCTTATCTCTCAGTCAGTCGCAATCGCTCTTACTTAGGTGACGATGAAAGAAACCAGAGAGAGAGAGAGTGGTGAAACTAGAGAGCGAGAGAAAGGCGCGAAGCGAGCGAGCAAGAGAAAGACCTTGGATGGGCTGGACTCATGGTTCAAAGTTGCGGTATCGGCCATCAACTCGGAGGGCACTGATACACATTGGTCACGGCTGATACGCTCAAAATGCTAGATAAAAGTTCCAAAAAAATTGAAAAAAAATATCAAAAATTCTATAAAATGTAAACAACAACATCCGTGCATTATATGCCTAAAATACATTATCTAACACATTAAAAATTACAAAAATAGATTATAAAGGTGCTATCAAAAATAAAAATTATCTATGCTATACCAATAAAAAATAGTCATCTATAAATTATTAATTTCTTAAATAAATTAGATCCCAATACTATGGAATACATATAATTTTTTTAAAGTTTAAATATAATTTAATTTAATAATAGGATAAAACAGAAAGCATACAAAAAAAGAAAGAAAAGAAATTAGAACATACAAAAAAAATTGAAATTAGAAGAGAAAAAATAAAAATCAACACATTTTTTTAATCTTTTCTTTAATACAACTTTTACTGAGGTAGTCTTTCACTTTTAAGTTTCGAGAAGAGAGAGAGAGGGACGGAGATGGAGACAAGAGATGAAGAGAAGAGATGAGAAAGGGACTGAGTGAGAGCTCGCGTGAAGCAGGCTAGGTCCTTTGCAACTTAAGTAGTCATCATCCGATCGTCAAGGAGTCTAAGGTTTCTACAATTGATATGCAAAGTCGGTCAATAATGCTAGTTCCTCTGTTGATGCGAAGAAGAAGAAGAAAAGAACATATAGTAGGAAATGCTCTTTGATTAAGGAAATTTACCACAATTTTTCAGGTTTGTGTTCAAATTTGTTCTCACTTTGTTGTTTTGTTTTTATTATGGTAAAAGGGATCTAATTTAGAGTTCAATTTTTTATCTTTTTTTGGCATTTTCTCTGTTGCCTGAAAGTTGGTGAACAATTCTGTAGGTATTGGTACGATTCAAAGGTTAATCACTCGAGTTGGACCGAGTTTGTCCAAATTAGACCGAGTTGGGCCGAGTCAAAACGATTCGTGGCAGACTTATGATAGTCTTGTATCGTGTATCGTTATCGGATTGGTGGTAGTTGAGACGGATACGACTCGGCCGATACTTTGAACCTTGGCTAGACTGGATCTGATTCGCTGTATGTACAAGATCTACAGGTTTTTCTGCAAATCCTTTCAATTTCAGTTTTAGGGTTTATTGATTTCTTCTATTTTGGTTTCTGCATCTTTAGGTCTGTGAATCTGCATGTAGAATTGGTCTTCTTCTCCTCCTCTTCTCTTTTTTTTTTTCTGGTTTTTTACATTGATCTGTTGATGACTCGGTCAGTCTCGGTGTGGCTCGGCCCGACTCAAACGATTCGACTCTAATTTCAACCGATATCTCAGAGTCATGACCAGGTCAACGCCAATTCGCTTGAGTCTCGTGTTATTCGCGTACTGTGTAACGGTATCGGATCGGTGATGGCTGAGCCGGATACGACTCGGCCGATACTTCGAACCTTGGTTTCACTAAATATAAGTTTTCAAGCTTCATTCACTTCCTCTTAAATGAAAGAAGAAAAATCAAAATAGTCTAAAATCTCAATTATTACACTTTCCCTCCTCTCCAAATAAAAACACCCCACATGATGATGATTAGCTAATCTGCACCTTGTAACATCATTCAAACTGTTCATCATCAGAAGTTCACAAAATATTCCAAACAAACAGTTTCCTGATTGTACTGATTTTGGACAAATGGTGCAGTAATTAGCTAATTTAAGTTTAAATCAGCTGGGACACATGGTGGCCTTGTTTCAACTCATAAACACCACAAAAGCTTTATAGTCAGGCACCCAACAAAATTCTTGATAATTTGGCAGGGGAATGTGAATGGAAATTATGGATTATACCAAATAATACGTAAAACAAAAACATTTGCTCAATTCAGGCATATGGTTGATTTAAAAATGCAAACCTTCCCAGTGAGCATCTCAAACAACAAGATTCCAACACTCCACCAGTCTGCTGCCTTATCATGGCCCTTCCCAAGAATGATTTCAGGTGACATATATTCCACTGTTCCACACATCGAGTTTGATCTTGTGTTGTTGTCAAATTGTTTTGCCAGGCCAAAGTCAGTCAATAGTGCCTTAAAAAGAATAAGTAAGGTGTGAAATTCAAACAATAGACAATGGGGCATGGCCTAAGAGGAGAGGGGGGGGCAGTGAAAGAGAGAGGGAGATAGAGATTACGTGGCCATCTGCATCCAGTAGGATATTTTCAGGTTTAAGATCCCTATGCATTATGCCGTTTGCATGAAGGTGAGACACTGCAGAAACAATCTCTGCAGTATATATTCGTGCTAGATCCTCTCTGAAACATTTAGCTAATATCATTTCCAGGAACATTTGCCTAATACTAATCAACCACATATCCAGGGAATTTACAAAAGCAAAACCCAGAAAAAGACAACACCTGAAGAGGCCATGGTGGTAAAGCTGAAAAAAGAGGTGTCCCCCATTCACAAAGTCCAGGACCAGGTAAAGTCTATATTTGGTCTGCAAGATGAAAAGAACTGAATATAAGGTTTCTTTTAAAACAGAAACCCCAAAATAAGTACATTTAGTTCAGATCACCAGCTATTAAACCCACATACAAAATTTTGGGCCAAGTTCTTTGTAACATTTCACGTACCAAAATTAGGTTGCGGCACTTCAATGATAATATAGAAAATAGAGGAAAAGGAAACCATATAAGAACATAGTATGTCAAGGATGCAACAAATGCTGAGGTAACATTACTTGGAATGAGTATCTGAGTTGAACAATAAAGGGATGTTCTATCTGTGTCAAAATATCCCTCTCCGCCTTCATGTATGCGGTATGATTTTTCTCCATAACCTTGTCTTTCCGCATGACCTTCATTGCAAATATTTCTAATGTGCCCCTCTTCCTCACCTGAAATACTTTTCCAAATGCTCCCTGCCCAACAACCTTCATGACCTCAAAATCCTCAAGACCTACTGTCTGGACCTTCTTGGATATATCATCAACACCTACGAGAGGTTCCTGAACAACAGAACTATTTGCAGAAAGCGTAATTGACTCGTCACTGAGACACTCTACTAGTTCCATTGAATCTTCCGACTCATGTATGGTGAGCTTACTCAGTTTCAGCGACTGACTAACACAAGCCGAGGGACCAACCAAAGAATGTGATCGGTTATATATGACCGCGGGATCATCATATACAAGCTCACTTGCATTAGCCACAGCAATTAAACCTTCTGGTAATCCATGTATAACTTCATTTGGTGCCTGAGCTGGAAGAGGACCAAATACGTCAGAGAAGTCCAACTCAACTTGATCTGATGGGACAACATCTGGAGGGCTTAAAGGGAAAAGTAACCGGCCTTGAAAGGATTTGCACATGCGAGTTTTTCCCAAAGCAGGTAACTGGGAAGAAACCATGCTGCCAAATATTGATTAAGGGACGCAGATGGCAAAATATTTGTCAATATTATGGGTGAAGCTCTTCAAAGGTTTTCAAGATGCGTACTCGTGAAAGAATCCCGTGAACGTCCTTGATCAAAAATAAGTTCGCGTATGCAGTAGTTTTGAAGAACTTGGACAGTAAGCAGACCAAAATCCAGAAAAAGAAGCCCTTCTTGTTTCCCAATTTGCAGGAAACAACAGATGCCACAGTGGTTGTTGGATTCATAAAGTTCTGGTTGTCAAATCTGTTATTCAACTTGAAGTACAAGTATGCTACGAATTAGGATGAAAAACCAATACAGAATGGATGAAATGAACACACATAAGTACCAACCAAACAAAATCAAGTATAAAACAACAAATCTTAAGTTTATATGAAATGCTAGGCATTTAAGCTTAAATCTTGATTCGAATTTCATTCAAATGTCATTTCATACACTACCATGACCAACGAACAATAGGTTGTCCATATATTCCTTTTGGTGGCTAAAACAAGGTGTCTACTGGAATGTTTTGTGCATGCATATGACATATGCTGCTTTATGTACCCACAGATAACTATTCAACCTAGAGTTGACTTATTGACTCAATCAAATCTTCAGACTAACCCAACTCAGTAAAATTTCAAGTAAAGTCGAGTATCAAGTTTTTAAACATTGCCTTAATGATACACCATCGTTGTCATAAAGTTGCAAACAAACAACATACCTAAATTGGAAAGATAACTAATATAAAACTCCCATCTGAAGCACAAAAAATTGCGGCCAAAGTTTTGAAAACTCAAAAAGTGATAAGGTATAACAGATAGCTTTGAAGAGTTGGATCATTTCAGAAAATAGCCCAGGAAAAGGTCACAAACCAATCTGGTTTGCCAAAATCAGCTTTTTGACAGGAAAAAAAAAATCTTATGTATCAAAACCAACGTAATTTCTTGGTAAAAAAATAAAAAACGAAAGAGAAGGAAGCCAAATAATGAATTCTAACCAATGCTCCAAAAAAAGGGCCAATATTTTAGTTCCAAAAAAAAGGGTTCCAATATTTCTCCCCTAATTCCCTATTACAGAGCCAAGCAAAAAAAAAACCATGGAACAAAAAGATCTAGGATAAATTTTTGATAAGTTGAAATCAAAACAACAGGTTCGTTTAAGGTCATTTTACCATACAATGAGATAATGGCGTATAAACATGAACACAATTTCAACTTTCCCAAAAAAAAAAAACATGAAAACAATTTCAGATCTTTTCACAGAAATCAATGGAATCATCACAAAAATTGGAAATGAGAATATTAATGGGCTTGTTTAATTGCTGAACATACAAAAAGAAACAAACCTTAATCATCCAGTTAATTCGTTTTTCTTGCGGTCCTCGTAAGAAAAAA